GACTGCAACATATTGCAATCTAAGAACGGACCTTGTCGGTACTGTAACCCGTTTCGTAGTCCTGATTGAGATGAACGAGACAACGTGTAAAGAGTCACAAGGTTTGTCAATGAAGGGTATCAACTGATTCTGTATCTTGAACACCCCCACCTTCGTATCTATATCTTCACCGGTTTTATATTTTTCCATGAAATAAAGTCCAATCAACATGGCATCCTCAATCGGAGCGACATATAGATCTTTTTTATATTTCACATCATCCAGTTCTAGACACATGGATTCGATTTGATACCCTGTCATAGCCATATCTCTCCCTGCATCACCTCGTAACGGAAGGTTTTACTGGTAAGGCATCATACCTCTTTTCAGAAATTATAGTTACCTCTGACGCCGTGTCAACAATTGCCTCAATCTTAATACCCTGCAACACTACTTGGACTTTTATGGCCGACATTGACTGCAGTTGCCTGATAAGCAAGGTCTCTCTATATCCTGTAGGCCGTCTTCATCTTGGATCAGACTTGGGCCTGTTGGCCTGATCCCTTCCCGTTTAAATCAACAGGAAATGTGACATGCTTCGCAGTCTTGTTATTGTCTTTCCTTTTAGGGCAATCTCTAGCCAATTGCCCCTCGCCATTGCACGTATAGCACCGCCCATGGTTGGGAGAGGCAGACCTGCTTCTTGGTGGATCAGAAAATCTAGAATCCATATCACGCAGTAGATTGGACAAGTCTGACTGCATCTTCCCCACCCGCTCGTAAGTAGAATTGTTTAGTCTCTCCTCAATGACTTAAGAATTGTCGATGAGAGGTAAAACAATTTAACAAAACATAAGTACAGGTGGAATCTCACGAGTTAATGTCAGTGTCGATTATGAACATATTGACAACAAGTCTTCTTCTTCTACTTCTTTGTCGTTTCACCAGACCTTCTTGGCATAGAAGATTACCTGGAGTGCGTGGGGGACGCATAATTAGTTAAAAGATGTTTTGTTCGTTATTTTGGATTTAACATAAAACTATATACATAAGTAGTATTTAGTGTATGAGAGGTGCGAGTATAGCTGGAATCAGCTGATCTCTGAAGGTGTCTACAGTAGCACTGTCTACAATGGCTGCAGGGAGGGCATTCCATTGGACTATGGTGCGCGGAAAGAAGGACCATTTAAGGGTGTCGTTTGTTGCGGATATATGTCTGAAGGTTTGATCATTTCATTTTCTGGTTCTACTGTCAATAGGAAAGAGGGTATCAGTTGTAGGAACAGCAATGAAACAATGGACAATTTTATAGAATACTACAAGTCGTGTTTTAGAGGACGTTCAGCTAGGAGTGGCCAATGGAGATTTTCTAACATTCCTGACACACTGCTTGTATTATGGAAGTTATTGCATGCGTCGTATCTAGCTGCACGTCGTTGAACCATTTCAATTTTGTTTGTATTTCGTTGTGTGTGGGGGGTCCCATACGCAAGTACCATACTCAAGTTTGTGTCGCACAAGTGACTGGTAAGCTTTGGCCTTGAGATTGGTGTTTGAAATCTTAGATTTCTCTTAAGAAAACCAAGGGCCTTGTTACCATTAGGTGTTACGTTGTCACAGTGGGTGTTCCACTTGAGGTTCAACTGAAGTGTCACCTCCAGGTACTTGGCAGCTGGGACGGATTCTAATACATGGTCATGAAGGATATAATTATATTAAATAGGCTTTCTCTTGTGAGAGACTGATAGTGAGGTACATTTACCGGGGTGAAAAGCAAATAAGCCATTCTACTTCCCACCTGGCAGCATCTTCAAGGTCTAATTAAAGTTTATAGCATTTTGCAGTAGATGAGACTTCGCGATAGATAATGCTATCGTCAGTGAATAGCCGGAGTTTACTGTAGTGAAGATATTCGGGAAGGTCGTTTATATAAACAAGGAATAGGACAGGTCCGAGGACCGTGCCCTGTGGGACCCCTGATGAAACTGGGACTCTATCGGAAGAGACACTATCTTTCACTACTGACTGGGAACGGTTACTTAGGAATGCAGAAATCCAGTTAAGGGTGTTAAACTGGATGCCTTATTTTTTTAGTTTGTATAGAAGGCGTCGATGTGGCACTTTATCGAACGCCTTCGCAAAGTCCATTATAATAAGGTCAGTTTGTTTGTTTTTGTTGTTGTTATCTGCCAGTTCATGGACAAAGTGTACTAGTTGGAATTCGCATGATCGTGATTTGCGGAATCCATGCTGTAGATCGCAGAGAATGTTATTTGATTCAAGGTGTTGCATTGCATTACTGGTTATTATATGTTCCATGATCTTACAGCATATGCAGGTGAGGGATATGGGTCGATAATTTCCCGGATTGTACTTTTCACCTTTTTTGTATGCTGGTGCCACATTTGCCAAGTTCCAATCGAGTGGTGTTTCACTGGTGTTAAAAGATTTGGTGAATATGATCGAAAGGATTGGAGCAATATGTTCTCTTAGCTCTTTCAGTATACGGCCGTTGATATTATCTGACCCACTGGCCTTGTGGGGGTTAAGATTGTGAAGGAGCTTAGAAATACCGCTAGTACTGATGTTGATATTTGGCATGATGGGATGAGGGCTTAAGCCGTTATAAGGAATGGGTGCGTCGGCTTCTGTGGTAAATACTGACTGAAGGTGACGGTTTAATATATTTGCCTTCTCAGTGTTGTCTGCTATGAGTAGGCCCTCATGCTTCAGCGGTGGAATCCAAACTTTTTTAAACTTCATACTTTTTATGTAGGAGTAGAATTTTTTGGGGCTGGCTTTTGAGGTTCCAGGTAGGTAAGGTTCGTCTATTGGGAGGTCACATATAAAAAAATCAATATAGTTCCAATAAGATTTTCTTATCTCCCTTTGTATAGTTGGTTTAATTTTTTTGTACTTTTGTGGGCAAGTTTGTCTTTTTTGTTTAGAGCTAGTTTTTCTTTTTTATGAGTCTACTTAAGGAATTTCTGACCCATGGAAGTTTGTGTTTGTAGGTGGGCATCTTACTAGGGATATAAGTGTCTATAGAGGATGTAAGGTGTGTTTTGAAGTAATCCCACAGGTCGTTACGGGATGATCCTATCATTGTATCATTCATTGTTTTAAAAACTGAATCGAGATCTAGCTTTATTTGGTCCCAATTGGCCTTGTTGTACTTGAGGATCTTTCTTGGGGTATTTCTAACCCGTCTTAACCAGATGTCAAGTTCTAGAAATACCATGTCATGGTCTGCATGACCGATTGGAGGAAGAGTGCTAACTTTGTTAACACAGGATGGATTATTGGTTAGGACAAGGTCAAGTATCTTGTCGTGCCTTGTTGTTTTATCTACAACTTGGCTTAGGCAATGATCTTGTATAAGATCTAGTAGTGTGTTATGTAGTATGGGGCTTTCCCGGGACAGTAGAGTTTTTCTTCATACTGGAAAGCGACAATTTTGATTGTCCTAAAGATTGACCTTTACTTGAGGGTGGTCTGTAAAAGCAGTCAATGGTTATTTTTTTGGACACAAAAATATCAATTTCACAATTGTCAGTTTTTAATTCTAGGAGTTCGATGTTGTTGAACTGATTACTCACCGCAATCAGTACACCCCCGTGGCTCTGGCTGCTCACCGCAAACAGTACACCCCCGTGGCTCTGACTGCTCACCGCTATCAGTACGCCCCCGTGGCTCTGGCTGCTCACCGCAATAAGTACACCCCCGTGGCTCTGGCTGCTCATCGCAATCAGTACACCCCCGTGGCTCTGTCTGCTCCCCGCAATCAGTACACCCCCGTGGCTCTGGTTGCTCACCGCAATCAGTACACCCCCGGGGCTCTGGCTGCTCACCGCAATCAGTACCCCCCCGTGGCTCTGGCTGCTCACCGCAAACAGTACACCCCCGTGGCTCTGACTGCTCACCGCAATCAGTACACCACCGTGGCTCTGGCTGCTCACCGCAAGCAGTACACCCCCGTGGCTCTGGCTGCTCACAGCAATCAGTACACCCCCGTGGCTCTGGGTGCTCACCGCAATCAGTACACCCCCGTGGCTCTGGCTGCTCACCGCAATCAGTACACCCCCGTGGCTCTGACCATTGCTATTTGGTGTTAGGTCATTTCTGTACACTGTGTACAGAAAAGATTATGGGATTTCTGACCCATGGAAGTTTGTGTTTGTAGGTGATGTTAGGGATATTGGGGATATTAGTTATGAGTCTGTACCTTAATGAGTACAGATCTAGAGATCCAGGCTGTACTACAAACATGATGAAATCATTAGATTGGAAATCTTTATCACAAAGAAGGACAAAAGCCAGATTGTCAATGTTATACAAGATCTCGCATAACATCGTTAAAATTAACCCATCATCATACTGGACATCAGGTGACAGACGAACAATGGGGGCACATAAATAAACACAATATCTACCCGGCGCAAAAGCCGCCTACAAATTCTCTTTTTCCCCAAGAACTATTATCGCCTGGAACTCATTACCAACGTCACTGGTCCTTAGCGAGGATTTACCTTCTTTCAAGTCCTCACTTGAAGGTAATTACCACCAGTCTCTCTACTAATTTTGCATCCTCGTATGTACATAGTTTTAATATAATACCTAAAAATTACAAAAAGATATTCTTTGAAATGGCACCTCCTAGGGTCAATTGCACTCCAACCTTGGACTTCTGATCCTCATAATGGAAGAAGAAGAGTTCTTTTGGAAAGAATCCGTGTGATGGAATGTTACTACAGTATCGAGCCAGGTTTCCGTGCCAAGTATATGATGTCAGGCTTGGTGGAATCAACTTAGGACTTCTAGTAATTCATCATAATATTCAAACTATTCATATACATATGTATTTAAGTCATGTGAGTTTTACAGTTTTAATAACAAACGGAAACAACAGAGATAAATGCCCGGACGGTCTTCATATAACTGTCGATCTCTATCGGGCTGTGTCGGGTTATCGGGCACTACCTGTCTGTCATTAGTATCACCCCCACCAAATATTTACTGCGGGACAGTAATGTTTACAATATGGCGTTATAATGAAATATTTCCATAGTGCGTATGCCAAATTCAGTCATTGTTTAACAAATTGCTGTATTTATAGAAACCTAACTCTGACATTGTAATCAAAATGTCACGATATAGACCCGACAAACTGAAGGTAAGATTATTTTACTTCATATTCACAAAAAAGCCTTAAAAGCGTTCGAGATAACGTTAGCAACGTATTTCGCTCTGGAGTCCAGTCGTTCCGTACTAGTCAATCGGTACCAAGATTACGGTTATCCGAACAAAGAATTTCAGTTGTTCCATACCAATGTATTGTATCAGTACCATACATATTTCTCATAAATCTGTGCCGAATATCTGTCAAAATCAATAAATATTTGCGTATTATTTCACGGTTATGTATTGTACTGTTGTATACTCTGAAAAACAAGACCACACACAAGTGATGGTGTCGACTCATATACAGAATTTTTTTTTTAAAAAAATCATTAACTAGATTTAGAACTATAAAATAAAAAGTCTTTTTTAAATTATAAGAAATAACCATGATAATTTTTTGGGTTATATGGTATTTTGTGCATTCACCGCTACAAAGTGGGTTTTTTTATGCAAAAAGCACACTTAATTGGTATATCGACCTTTAATTAACTAAAACAATAATGATGGTTATTCCTGAATTATTCAATTAACTTAATTATTTCCAGAATTTTGTCCGTTTAATTTCCTTTTAGTTGATAACCCTGTATATGATTAACAACTTTTACATTTCAGGGCGGAGGAGCAGATTCAACCGCGCTAGCTGCAGTAGCCTTACAGGATCACTTGGTCCGTAGTCTCAACTTAAACTTCGGCAATGTCAAAACTTTTGGTCCAAGAAACATTGGACTGGGTCCGGCTGCTCGATCCAAACAGAGGTCACAACCTAGAGCTGTTGTAGATACGGGAAGAAGTATGTATTGTTTGCATGGTTGTACTCCAGAGATAAATAAGGGTTGGTTTATGATGACTGAAAAAGTACACAAAAATTGGAAGTCTGACCAAGAGTTTTTTCTCCCACCTCTATGTTTGTAAGATTAATAGAATCTTTTACCCTCTTGGGGGTGAGATAGGGGAATCTCTACCCTCAGGGAAAGATTCTTAAGTCGCCAAACACGAGGCTGTGCCCACGAGGGGTAAATTATTCTTTTTCTCTTATTCTGTTCTCCCATTGTGTATCGTATACAGAATGTAATGATAACGTTACATGCTAAATTCAGGGTTGACGTGACATTGATGGATTGTATTATTGAAATAACGTCATGCCATTGTTATGAATAGGGGAATCCCCCCGTCTCAAACCTAGGGTGAGACAAGGAAATCTCACACTGGTAAAAGTGCAGATACACCTTTCTTTTCCCCTAGAAAGGTGTATCCGCACTTTTACCGGTGTGAGATATCCTTGACGTCCCTTCAACAATACAATGATGTCACGTCAACAATCCGCCAACGTCACGTCAACCCTGAATTTAGCATGTAACGTTATCGTTACATTGTGTATATGATACACAATGGGAGAACAGGGTAAGAGAAAAAGAATCATAACCCCCTTGTGGGTGAGATAGGGGAATCTCCACCCTCGTGAAAAGATTTTTAAGTTGCCAAACACTCGGCAAAGCCTCGTGTTTGGCAACTTAAGAATCTTCCCCTCGGGTTGAGATTCTCCTATCTCACCCCCAAGGGGGTGAAAGATTCTATTAGTACGTTCAGGGTAAGAGAACAGCTTGTCACCCCCTAGGGGGAGATAGCCTCGTGCCGTTTAGCACATGTTCAATTGTGATGTCATTAAAATGTGTTACCGGTAACTGTGACATCATTAAAAGTGAATGACGATATTCATACCCCACATGTGTTTTTGTTTACAAACATGGAAGACTACTGTCGGTGGAGTTGTGACAAAATAATGGGATGGGAGAAAAATAGTCATCTCCTATCTTGAGGGTGTGACAGAGAAATCTCCAACCCTCGGGATGATATTCTCGAATGTCTCGGCACAGCCCCTGGTTAGACAACTCAGATAGGAGATAAGTCTCACCCTAGGGTTGAGACGGGGGGATTCCCCTATTCATAACAATGATATGACGTCACATCAACAATATAATGATCTCACGTCAACAATCTATCAACTTCACATCAACAATCCATCAACATCACGTCGACCCTGAATTTAGCCTATTAATTGCTAACATTACATTATGCATATGACGTCCTACACCATGAGTGAACAGGGTGAGAGAAAAAGAATCATTCACCCCCTTGAGGGTGAGATAGGGAAGGGGGTGAGAGATTCTGTTATTCTCCCACCCTTCACAGGTGTGTGTCCCTTTTAAGCCGGAAAAGATCAGCTTGTTACCCCCTAGGGGGGAAATAGCCTCGCGCAGAATGGTGCGATCGAAGTCATAACAGTAGTATGACGTCACATCAACAGTAGCAGACCATGAGTAATCTTTCTCAAATTTGATATGTAGGTTCCTTTTGGTCTTTAGTTGTGAATGAACAAAATGACGCGCTGGTGGCCATCTCGGATTTTGAAAGTTAAGGTTTGTTATTGCTATTTCTTAGAAAGTATTTGAGGGATCTTTCTCAAATTTGGTATGTAAGTTCCCCTTGGTCTTTGTGCCCGTGCACTTTTGTGACTGATCGGAAACACAAAAATGGTCACCAGGTGGCCATCTTAGATTTTGAAAGTTAAGTTTTGTTATCTCTATAAAGCTTCCCAGAAATTACTGGAGGCCGCCGGGATCTTTCTTAAATTTCATATTTTTGTTCCCCTTGGTCCCCATATCAAAAATACCCCTGACCTTAATGAGAATCCATCCCTCATTAGCTGCACGTGTATATAAGTATTATAAATGTATAGCATTTTGAAGATAGTTATGCAATTCTTATACAATAACAATATATGTCATTACGAGGTTGAAAGCAATGTACAAGATTCCCGTTTAGGATCAGTTTCAACATTGGATGGGTAACCTGTAAGGGAAATGAAGAGCAAAGGAGGTAAAAGATCATCTTTAGTAGATCTGATAAAGGTCCTTTCATGGCGGCTGCCAAGATCCTTCGTGGGTACGTGGTAGCCGTGATCGCTAACGCGCACGGTCATTGTACTACTGTGTGCAATCAATCGTGAGTTTCAGACCACTCTCTCTCCCAAGAAGTTTGGTTCGATCCCCAGCGGTGGGGGAAAAAAGAGAGTGATGTCTGATAGGGTTAGTAACTTGCAATTTTGTTATCTCTCCAATGGCACAATGGTTTCCCCCCCCCCCGTGGGTTTTTCTCCACCACAAAAACATCATTTGTTCCCTTAACAGTGTCGTAATAAAAGCTCTTCAGAGCTTATGTTTGTTGTTGACAATTGAACGCGACGTTTACTAAAGCTTATTATTATTATCTCTTGTTGAACATTATTATGATACAATTATATCATCATGCCTTGCTTACAAACAGAACAATACTATTATTTTAACAGTCCCTTTGTGTTTTGATATGTTTCAAAATCCTAGGTCTGTATTCATGAAACTGTTCTCGTGCTCCAGCATGATTTCTGTGCTCAAGCATGAATTCTGTGCTCAAGCATGAAGTCTGTGCTCAAGCATGAATTCTGTGCTCAAGCATGAAGTCTGTGCTCAAGCATGATTTCTGTGCTCAAGCATGAATTCTGTGCTCAAGCATGAAGTCTGTGCTCAAGCATGATTTCTGTGCTCAAGCCGACTTTCTTGTAACCTGCTTAAATCATGTAACACGGCCATAGCATCAAGTGTAAACACTGAAAACAGTAATCGGCTTAAAGTCTTTCAAAATGTTTTACAAAATATGATATTTTTTTATTAATTTTAACTGGAAAAATAAATTGGGCTTGAGCACAGGACCTGAGTTTATGCATGAGAATGGTTTCATGAAAACGGGCCCGGATATTGTATGTAAGCTGCACCAGATCCAAGCAAATTCAGGGATAAGAGGCGTCAAAAGTTTTACCCAAGTCTAAACATGTTAACTTCATACCGTCCAATTAACTCATTTACCCCTTAAATTTCATGATGAACTATTCCAACCATTGAATTGGAAGTTTTCAAATGTGTCTCCAGGGGTGAATGAGTTAAGTTGCCTGCATTGGCATACATCTGTAGCGTGCCAATATGTGAAAACAACCCAATATGTGAAAACAGGAAAACTATATTGAATTCATTAATTACTGTGTTTAAATTACTTATTATTCAAACTAACTTTAATGTGAACCATCTCAACTAATAAAATCCACTAATTAGCAAAAAAGTTTTTTTTCACTTTTTACGAATTGGGTTGCACATGATAGGATAAATCCTATCAACCCAATATGTGAAAACATGAAAAAATGTTTAAAATTCCTAAATAACTTTGTGTTAATTACTAATTATTCAAAGAAGCTCTAATGTGAACAATTTCCACTAATTAGATAGACTTATTAGCCAAAATATACAAAGGTTTTTTTCACTTTTCTCGAATTGGGTTGCACATGATAGGATAAATCCTATCAACCCAATATGTGAAAACATGAAAAAATGTTTAAAATTCCTAAATAACTTTGTGTTAATTACTAATTTTTCAAAGAAGCTCTAATGTGAACAATTTCCACTAATTAGATAGACTTATTAGCCAAAATATACAAAGGTTTTTTTCACTTTTCTCGAATTGGGTTGCACATGATAGGATAAATCCTATCAACCCAATATGTGAAAACATGAAAAAATGTTTTAAATTCCGTAATAACTTTCTGTTACTTACTAATTATTCAAAGAAGCTTTAATGTGAACAATTTCCACTTATTAGATACAGTAATTAGCCAAAATATACAAAGATTTTTGTTTCACTTTTCACGAATTGGGTTGCACATGATAGGACAAATCCTATCAATCCAATATGTGAAAACAAGAAAAAAATAATTAAAACTCCTAAATAACTTTCTGTTAATTACTAATTATTCAAAGAAGCTCTAATGTGAACAATTTCCACCTATTAGATAGACTAATTAGCCAAAATATACGAAGATTTTTGTTTCACTTTTCACGAATTGGGTTGCACATGACAGGACAATTCCTATCAACCCAATATGTGAAAACATAAAAAAAATAATTAAATTCCGTAATAACTATCTGTTTATTACTTATTATTCAAAGAAGCTCTAATGTGAACAATTTCCACTAATTAGATAGACTTATTAGCCAAAATATACAAAGTATTTTTTCACTTTTCACGAATTGGGTTGCACATGATAGGACAAATCCTATCAACCCAATATGTGAAAACATGAAAAAATGATTTAAATTCCGTAATAAATTTCTGTTTATTACTATTTATTCAAAGAAGCTCTAATGTGAACAATTTACACTAATTACTTACACTAATTAGCCAAAATAAACAAAGATTTTTTTTTCACTTTTCACGATTTTGGGTTGCACATGATAGGACAAATCCTATCAACCCAATATGTGAAAACATGAAAAAATGTTTAAAATTCCTAAATAACTATCTGTTTATTACTTATTATTCAAAGAAGCTCTAATATGAACAATTCACACTAATTAGATAAATTAATTAGTCAAAATATACAAAGATTTTTTTCACTTTTCACGAATTGGGTTGCACATGATAGTACAAAACACACCTTCCAAAACTTGAATGAGAAACTAATAAAGAATAAATAAGTAAAAACGAATCAGCAGTGGCGCTAGACGAGGATTCGAACACAAGACGTTCCAATGCAAGGACTGTAACTCTAACCAACTGAACTACCTTATCGATAGTAATGAAATGTCCTAGTTACGCTTTTTTCCTTTGGGCACTTAAAGATTCCTGTTCCGCTGCTCTGTAGTTTTTAGCTCACCGACCCGAAGGACAAGTGAGCTTATGCCATGGCGCAGCGTCCGTCGTCCGACC